CCCCCCGCCGCCCGCGCTCCCCCTCCCCGCCTGGCCGGGGCCCTTCCCCGGCGGCGGGAGCAGAGCCTGCCCGCCTCCAGGTACGGCTGGGGCACCCCCTACCCAGGGCCGGGGTGGGTGACCGCGGAGGGGGTGTGTGTCCCCCCTCAGGGCCGGGGGTCCCCGTCTCCTCAGCCCCGGCGGCCGGCGAGGCGTGCCCGTTGTGGGAACACCCCTGGGCTTCCTCCCCTTGACTCCTTTAGCCATGGTTCTCCTTAGTACACGTTTTTCTGCGCCATCCCTTCGATGGCACAACAAATCCCTGTCCGCCCGCTGCGGTCACTAGTCTTAAAATGAATGCGAATGTTATACCCCGTCCTGTGACCTCCCTCCTCTTTCTGTCAGTCCTGGGAGCCGCAGGAGGAGCTGGTTTAGCCAGCTTGCCCTGTGATAAATGCGCTGTTTTTCCATCAGATCGGCATGCCCAACCAATTCGCCTTTTGGCGCTTGTGGCTCCTGTATCTATGGAAGAGTATTGGCAGGAGGCAGCAAGGCGCTTCCCTAAAATGGCAGTGTTGCTAGGTCGTTGCTGGAGTATTTTGTACACAGGTAACCTTTGCAGCTGAAGACTGAAGGATCCTGTCAACCTGTACGCCAGATGCTTTTTTTGTCTGTGTGTTTTGACCTGCATTCTGTATGCTTCAATTGGACTTTGATTTCCATACCTACACTCTCCCCCCATTTCATGTTTTTATTTTGTTATCTATATTGTTTCTGGGGGGGAAAAAAAGCACACACAAGAGCAGGGCCTGTCACTGTGAGGCCTTCAGAAGTTGACATTTTGCATCTTTGTGGTTGAACAAAAAACTGCTGAAGTGACACTGTGTTTAGGGGGCTGAAGAGTTCCTAAGCAGACAGAATGACACAGCAAATTACGGTCAGCCCTGTCTGAAGATTTTGGAATATCATTACAGGAGCACTGCCAGATTAAACACATTTTTCTGACTTTATTTGTAGCAGGGAACTTCTAAGATTATGTGGTGATATTTTTCTGTCCTGTTAAACAACATTTTCATCCATATAACATTCTTCTGTAGTGTTAGTGAGTATCTCGGTTTTACAGGGCTATTTTGTAGAAACAGGAAAAAAAAAAACTAAATAGGAGTTATAAAACTATGGATCTACATAGTACCTGAAATAATTTAATTTTTCTTTAGGTATCAAGTCAGTCACTGTCTTTTGAAACAGTCTTCCATCTTGTGATTAAAATAGTCAGTTCCTCCATTCGTAGGCTAACTTGATAGTGAAAGGGTGTTTTTGTGATATGAGTTAATTGCTGTCTAGTTATCCTCTGATGATTGACTTGGGCTGTAGGTCTACACAGATTTGCTGGCTGGGGCAGCATCCATCTCTCCCAGCTATTTGCTTCTCGCCTTCACCTCACTGTCTGGACGGTGCTGCTCTCAGCCATCTGGAGAACCCAGATCAGGGAGTTATTCCACATAAAAGCTAATTTCTATTTCTACCCCAGATTATTTTTTCATCTGAATTACTGCAGTTCTGCATGATGTGTGGTTGCGTCGAGGCTGCAACAGCATTGCTGCTGAACATAAAACCAGCTTCATGCTTATTTGAAATGGAAAAAGGAGGTTCCTTGACATTTTAAGTTCACATAAATTGAGGCTACTGGAGGTAGATCTGCTCCTGGCTGTTCGTTATGCCAATGATAGCATTTTTGGGACAATGTGATAGGCTTGTTTAAGAAGCTGATCAACCTGAAAACTGATTTTTTTAATCTCTTGCTATAAAAAAGAACTTAATTCTTCTGATTTCTGATGGCTTTTTCAGGTACATATATTAAATATAATAGGAGGAATGTGCAATGCAATCTTATGAGGAAAGACTGTGTATAGTTATCAGTTACTCAGACTGCTTTGCATTTCTCTTACCTCTTTTCATCTCTAAACCCTCCAGGAGATGTTCGTTCTGAGCAGCAGTATCAGCAGCAGAAATTTTCAAATCAGTCATCTGGGCCTTCTTACAGGAAAGACCAGTATTTTCCAAAAGGGCAGAATAGAGGAGAGAGAGGCAGAGGAAGAGGAGGATGGCAAGGAGGACGTGTTTCTGAGGAAATGCCGAAATACATAACAGGTTTGTATATAAGAAAAAGGTCATAATTTATATGTCCAGGGCAACTTGCTGGTGATTGTTTGCTGTCTTTCTTTGGTTTTGTGCAAGAGCAAAATTAGAACAGATGCTATGTTCTGCTTTTCCTAATTTTCTCCGAAATACAGAGGTAGTTGTGTACTGGAATGAATGACCAGCTGTTGTTCTATGAGTCCTTTCAGATTTCTGAGTTGAAAAGTTGCACTTTCTTGTAATGAGGGATATGCATTTTGGTTTCTGTTTGCCAGCAAAATGGGTACTGACAGTCATCTGTTTTTAATGTAGCTAGTGCAACTGTTTCTGCCCATGATGTGAGTTAAAGACAACTTTTCATCTAACAGGACATTTATCTAGGAGAGCAGATTAGCTTTTCAAAATGTGGCGGTGCTCTGATAGTAGATACACTTCCATGAGCATAAAACAAGACCAACCTCTGGATTTTTTATTTTATCATTTTAAAACAGTCTGTAATATGATTACTGCTTCCTTTTTTTTTTCATGCTGAAGTTTTTTTCATCTCTCTGAATACCATCTGAAAAGATTGCTACTCTAATTTAATAAAGAGGTACTCAATGCAAATAGGACTTGTTGGTTATACCACAGCTTTCAGATTAATTCGTGTGTAAGTATTTGCTTAATCATATCTGTAAGCTTCAGAATATCTAAAGAATTGAAATTTCTTCAGTAATAGTATACAGTATTTACTTTTATCTCAAGAAGTCATTAGACTGATGTACTAGGAATACTCTGCTGGAATTCAGTAATTTACGTACAGTGTCCCCTTCTTTGATTTTTGCCATTTGTCATGCTCTGATGCAGTTCTTTTCATTGCAGTGTCTACCTTTGCTCAAGCTCGTGCTGCTGAGATCAATGCCATGTTGAAAGCAGTTGCGCAGAAGTCTTCAAACTCTCTAGTTTTCCAGACTCTACCTAGGCACATGCGAAGGCGAGCTATGAGTCACAATATTAAACGCCTACCCAGGCGGCTCCAAGAGATTGCCAGGAAAGAGGTATAAGTGTGTTTTATAGTATTTGACTGACTATATACTGGGCATAGGTAATGCACAGTGTTCAGCTGTACATTTATTAATGTTCAGACCTGAGTTTATCTGCAAAACTTCCCTGCACACACAGGTTCTCAAACTTTGACTGACGTTTGGATTCAAAATGCAGGAACACCTCAGTTTTAGACGGTAGCTCAAGTAGATCTCACTAACCACTTGGCTTTGTGATTATTGGACATCTTGGAAAAGTTATTAGAGTAGTAATGATAAAAGGGTCCACTGCAGGATGCGTTGTTCAGGCAGTGCATCGGTCCCAGGTGATCCAGGAGTCCTCGATAACACCTCTCTGCCTTGCACCCCACCACAGCTGTCGGGTGTGACCCTGCTGGCCTCAAGCCAGTATAGCCCATTCATGACCAGCATGGTGGTTCAGGTGTTACAGCTCAAACATGGGAGCTACACTGGAGTTGTTGGCAGGCTGCAGGCAGCTTAAGACTTACTAATTGACTGTTCCTGGTTGCTCGTGAAACTTTCTCATTTTGTGGCAGTATCTCAACGTTTAGTCAGAATGCTCTTGTGGAGTTGCTTGCTCCTTAATCACTGTGGACTTCCTGGATGTTTTTAAAAAAAACAGAAAAAAATTGGTTCTTTTTTTTTATTGTGAAATGATCTGTCTGATGTTTGGCATTGATCACTTTATCGTCTCTAGACACTTCTTAAAGTGGTCAAGAGAGTTTGCTTTGTAAGTTTTCTGTGTATTAAGGTTGCCTGATGAACATATTTCTTGCATTCTTTTTTCCCTTGCGTTGTCTTTAAGTTCTTTGAGAAGACTGAAGGAGACTGAAGGAAGGAGGCATGGGCTATTTTGTGTAGTTAGTTATGGGCTCTATCCTTGTTAAATAACCTAGATTTCTTTAATGTTTATGCTTGGTTCTTTTGTGTCCTGCTTTAACTCCTTTCACATGATAGCGTTTCTAACTTCTCTGTACATGCTCACACTTATTCTCCCATCCTTGTTTCCACTCCTTGTATGATTCTTGGATTTTTGAGATTATTTAATTGGCCCTGGTGCAGCTGTATTTCTTCTGCTATGTTTTCTCTCCTCAGGTCTTTTGGTGTAGTTTGTGTGTTTGCACAGGCTGTTTTGTTTCATGTTTTCTTGCAGCTTGTCATATCTCCTGAGCTATTTCCGTTTGTAAAGGTTCTGCCTATTACTTTTCAGTGTTTGAAGTCTGCTTCTTCAAAGTTAACTGTTCTGATTCTGATGCATTTTCTTCCTTTTTCTTAGATCCTTTATCATGACCATTTTCATCCAAACATTTACCTGGACCATCTCTTATCTCTTCAAAAGCTTAAAGACATATATTTTTCGTCTACAATACCACATCCCTTTTTCTCTAATTGTCTTTCTGAACCAATCAGTCACATACCATTGATCCAGTGGCTTATATTGCCTACGCTGTCATGGAATGATGGGTCTGATGGGAACAATTTATTTTTTTTTGTGCATTTCT